CTTTATATAAAAAAAAAAAAAAAAAAAAAAAAAAAAAAAATTTCTTTTTCAAAATTCTCATAATTTTGGATGCACGTAATTCTTTACTTGAACTCACGTCATGTCGGTGCGAATATAAATCTCAATCAATATCATAAATTCATGAATAATGCTATTTAGTCTCATTGATATTAGAACATTAGTTTCTGTGATCACACTTGATAGTTTAATTAAATAAATAATGAGACATTACAATTAAGTTGATCAATTATTTAATATTTAGTGTCATGTAATTGTTACCTAAATTAATATTTACACCAGTAATGTTAAATAATATTGCTCTAATTTAAGGGAAAAGAGTATTAAACTCATTACGTAAGTTTCCTCTATTCAAGTATTATTTTAGTTGGCCATAAGACTTTTTTCTTTTATTATAAAACATGATTTTTTTCCCATATTAAAGTTTTTTATTTAACAAGATTGGATCAAACCCAAAACATAAATATCATTACTATGAGATAAATCCTATAATCAAGTTCTGCTCCAAATTAGTTTGGGGGGAAATTGGCTAAAAACATCCAAATCATACTAACTATAGGTCTGAATTGTAGAAGTTTACAGAGGTGTTTGGTAGGAATTTTTATGTGAAAATGTATTTTTGAATAGTAAATTGATAGGAAATGTGTGGTTGAAAAATAAGAAAAAGTTTTTGATTTACGTATAATATTATTTTAATAAAGAATGTGTGGTTGAAAAGAAGAGAGAGAAAAATGCATTTTGATAAAAATGGATGCCAAACAGGGCCTACATTTCGAATATTCAAAAGAGTAATTAGCACAAAATACTCTTATCCTTCAATGTTATTGTGTAAAATGTCTCTACATTTCAATTTTTGACATTTTCACCCCAAATTTTCATCTTTCATTGTGAAAAACGTCGTTGTCATCCAATTTTCTTAATAAAAAATGTAAAATGATAAATATACCATCATATTTAAATAAAATATGAAAAAAGAAAAGAAAAATTAAAGAACAAAGTGCAATTATATACCCAACATTTTTAGAAACTGCAAATGAGTTCAAATAAATTATTAAAATGGTAATTAGCACAAAAACGTTCATATCTTTCAATATTATTGTGCAAAACTTCCATACTTTTCTTTTTTTGACATTTTCACCCACATTTTTTCATTTAATTGCGAAAATTATCATTTTCATCTATTTTTTCAATTAAACGCTATATAAAATGATGAATCTACCACTCTAATTAAATAAAACAAAAATACGAAAAATAAAAATAAAAAATAAATTACAACTGCACTCCAAAATTTTCAAAAAAGTAAAAATAAATTTAAAATAAAAAAATTAATTTCTTTTTTAATTATTTATTTGAAATTTATTTGTATTTTTTTGAAAATTTTGGGAGTATAGTTACAATTTATTTTTTTGTTTTATTTTAATAGGATTTATATTCATCATTTTATATCCTTTAATTAAGAAAAATAGACGAAAATGATGATTTTCACAATGTAATGTGAAAATAAGGGCAGAAAATGACAAAAATGAAATGTATGAAAGTTTTGCACAATAATATTAAAATGTATAGACGTTTTGTTCTAATTATTCTTTTAATAATTTATTTGGATTCATTTGCAGTATTCAACAAGTTTGGAAGTATAATTGCAATTTGTTCTTCTTTTTTTTTATTTCAATAGGAGGTTATATTTGTTATTTTACATTTTTATTGAGAAATTTGAAGAATATGAGTTTTTTCGTAGTGAAAGGTGAAAATATCAAAAAATGAAAGGTAGAGACGTTTTGCAAAATAATATTAACAGATAAGGACGTTTTGTGCTAATTACACTTTAACCGGTCTTAAAAAATCCATCTTCCTTTTACTTATTAAATAAAATTTATTCTCAACCATAATATATGACATTCCAAAATTTCATTATTAATCCATATTATTTTTAAATTGAAAACAGTGATATTTAATTTATTCTAAATATCTATGCCATGTCTATTAATGAATAATAAATTTAAGGGCGATTAACACAAAAATATCTTTATCTTTCAATATTATTGTGTAAAATGTCCGTGTGTTTTATTTTTTGTCATTTTTCCTCCTTATTTTTACATTTTATTGCGAAAAATGTCATTATCATCTAATTATTTTAATAAAAAAATAAAATGACAAGTGTACCCCCTATCTAAATAAAAGAAAAAATGAAAAGAAAAATTAAAAAACATATTGCAATTATATTTCCAAACTTTTTAAAAATTGCAAATATGTCCAAATAAATTATTAAAATGGTAATTAGCACAAAATATTCTTACCTTTTCAATATTATTGTGCAATACTTCCATACTTTACATTTTTTGTATTTTCACCCTTATTTTCACATTACATTACGAAAATCATAGTTTTTATCTATTTTCTCAACTAAAAGCTGTAAAATTATTTATTTGTACTCTTTTGAAAATTTTGGGACCAATGCTGCAATGTTTTCTTTATTTTCCCCTTTTTAGTTTTATTTTAGTAGGATGATATATTCGTCATCTTATAGATTTAATTGAAAAAATGATGAAAATGATGATTTTCACAATAAACGTGAAAATAATGATGAAAGTGTCAAAAAATGAAAGTTAAAGATATTTTGCACGATAATATTGAAAGGTATAGACGTTTTGTGTTAATTATCCGTTTAATAATTTATTTGAACTCATTTGCTATTTTTTAAAAAGTTTTAGAGTATAATTGCAATTTTTTCTTTTTTTTTTCTTTTTTATTTAAATAGGAAGGTGGATTTGTCATTTTACATTTTTTTAATCAAGAAATTGGATGAAAAGAATATTTTTCGGAATGAAAGGTAAAAATAAAGATGAAAATATATGACCGTTTTGTACGATAACATTGAAAATATAAAGATGTTTCGTCCTAATTACCTAAATTTAATTCAAACTTTGAGATTCATCATAAAATGATTATAAAGCATAGAAGCGACTGTCATGAAGCAAAAGAGCATGTGTACTGGTAGAGTTGTTTGATCGAAGTAAAAAATAAATAAATCTGATGATGAAACTTTGTATAGATAATTCATGTAATTATATTTATTTCTTATGAATTATTAGATTCCACCTATCACGATCAAAGTAAGCTCCGTCAAATCTAATATTTTAGAGATTTGCATCAGACTGGAACATCCTCAATTATTGCATAATTAATGCTACACATGAAAGTTAATTATATTATAATGCTATAAATTTTTAAGATTTAACAGCAAATTATTCTTAATGACATCAAGATTCAAATAGTGATCCGGCCCATTGAAAATCCGAATCACCTCCGTAGAACCTCCGGACCACTCCGAAAACCACCATCAACTACCGC